GGGACCATAGAGTAGACTGTGACCATGAACAATATCACCTCTCTGTATCTCAGCTACCTTCCCCGAACCCTGAGAAATGTAGACCCAGCAGTAAGTGTGAGTCGTTAGTGATGTTGGTAACTGTTGTGTTTTTTCATTCTGAGAAACGCTATTCATTGCTATAGTTGTATCGTTGATAGTTCCTTGGAAAGAAGATAAAAACAAGTCCTGATCTCAGTACTTAGAGATTATCACCTTATATACGGTACGTCAAAATTTGTAGATTGATATTTTCTTTAAAATGTGACCGTCACGATAAGTTAAGTGCGCACCAGTTCACCAAAACGAGCCTCACCGTCCTGCGCTGTTGACGGGTGCTAGTAAAAACGCCGTCAGGCTCCGTAGCCAGCTTTAGGCCTTGTAAGAGAAGACTCTGCATTTCTCTCTACTTGTGCCAGCCGTGGTGAGGACGCAGTAAAGGAGTCAGGCAAGAAGGTAAAGACCAAGGAGCAGGCGCTGGAGTCACGAGGGCGAGTGTCTGCGGGCTTCAGGGCCGTCCACCGACCCGCGCTGCGTGCGCCTGCCCCTCCAGCGCGACAGCAGGCGTGTAAGTAGAGGGCCCGACCTCCGGGCCGCGCGCTTAGGTGCGTTGTTCTTCCTCCTCCAGGTTGCCAACACTCCTGATCACCGAGTGTGTGCTGGTTTACATGACTCCGGAGCAGTCTGCAAACCTCATAAAGTGGGCGGCCAGCAGTTTCGAGACCGCCATGTTCATAAACTATGAGCAGGTAAGAGGACGCGCAGGAGGGTCAGGCTCTGCCCAGGCCTGCGGGGAGGCTTTCCCGCCGAATGCTTTCTGCGTCTGCTTTCCTTGTTCCTTAGCCGTTGCCTTCACATTGAGCTGCATTCCCAGCCCTTTCAGAGAGAGAGAGAGAGAGAGAGAGAGAGAGAGAGTGTGTGTGTGTGTTTTGAGACAGGTTCTCACTAAACTGCCCAGCGGGGTTTGAACTATGCAGCACTCCTGCCTCTGCTTCCCCGAGGATGGGATTGCAGGCACATAGCGCTGCACCTGTTCTCCCTTTTTTATTCTTCTGCTTTTGGCTACTCATGTAACTTCTTTATTAATTGATTCCAACGGTCCTGGCACTCTTGACTTCTTGACCTCTAGCTAGAGTTGTGGAAATTTCTATCGTAGTCTTTGTAAGAGTTTTTCCACTATTTACCGTAGAGTCGCAGAGCATTGTGAAGCTCTTTCACTGCAGTCAGTGTAATGCTGGCAAATGCAGGGCAGGCAGCGGTGCACACAGGAAAGTGGGCAGGGGTGCGGTGTGGTGAGGTGGGTCCTGGGGGCCCTGGAGCACTGGTGCGTGCTCGCGGGAGAGGCCTCTCCTCAGGCCCAGCCGATTGCTGCCATGTGGACGTGTGCTCCTAGAACTGCCAGAGCACCCAGTTTTTTAAGAGAAGGTAGAAATGCAGGATTTAATTTCTGTAATCACTGAGACGGGCCCCCTGGCAGCCTGTTTGTCTCTTCTGATCATAGTGCCGAATTAGGTCCGTGTTGGCGCTTTGGAGCGAGCCAGTTTGGGCCTGAATCCCGGCCCTCGCTCTTGTGACCTTCGGCAGCTTCACTTCGCGATTAGGGGTCCATGCTCTGGAAGTGCTTTCTAGCTGCCTGACCTGCACACTGCCTCTTTCTCCCCCGAGAATACGCAAAGGCTCTTACAGCCTTGCACAGCTGCTAATACGCAGTGTCGCTTGCGTTTCCCAGAAGCCCTAGGTCTGCTTTTAAAGGGACGATGCCTGCCTCCTGGATTAGTACTAGGGATTCATGAGGTGTTTTTCAGCAAGGCACATAAGCGTGTGAGATAGTACATTTTTTTGGTGTGTTTTTAAACACTAGACATTTTAATGAGGTTGGGTTGGATACAAATAAACCTGTGTAAATTTTTCAAAAATGTTTCTTAATGTCAATGCTGGTACTCTGCAAAAGGAGATCAAAGAAGATATCAGAAAATGGAAAGCTATTCTCAGCTCTCGGATAGGCAGGAGCAGTATTATCAAAATGGCCACATTTCAAAAACCCATATATAGATCTAATGCAATATCCCAGTCGAAATACCAACACCATTCTTTACAGAACTGGAGAAAATCATCCTAAAATTAATATGGAATCAAGAGACCAAAAGTTGCAGAAGCAGTCCTGGGTAATAAGGTCAAAGCAGTCATAATACCAGACTTAAAGCTGTACTGCGAAGCCACGGTGATAGAAACAATGTGGTACTGGCACAGAAACAGGTGTTAATCAGCAGAACAGAACAGAGGGGGCTGAAAAATCCCAGGTACCTTAAGCTATTTGATCTTCGATAAAGAGGCCAAAAACATAGGCTGGGGAAAGGGCCTCTTTCGGTATGTTGCAGAAAATTAAATCTGGATCCTTACCTCTCATTGTGTACTAGACCAAAATAAAAATGGATCGAAGGACTAAATATTAAATCAGAAACACTGAATTTGCTAAAAGATAAAATAGATGCTAGGTCTGGTGACGCACATCTTGGGAGGCTGGGGCAGAAAGGTGGCCGTGACTTCAAGGCCAACCTGGAATACATACTAAGTTCAAGACCAGCCTGAACTACATAAGCAAAACCCTGCCTCAAAAACAAACAAGCTAAATAAAATAGAGGAAACATAGGTGGAGGCAAGGACTTTCTGAACAGAACCCCAATTTCGTAAGAAATAACATCAAAAATCAACAAGTGGAAGCAGATCAAATTAAAAGCCTTCTGCACAGCAAAGGAAACAGCAGAGTGAAGAGACAACTTCCAGAATGGGAAAAATACTTTGCCAGCTGTGTCACCGACAGAGGACTAGTGTCTGTAATATATAAAGGACTCAAAAGCTTTAGGACCCCCCCACAAGAGAAGACCCAGTCAAAAGATGGGCAACTGAAATGAGTACATACCTCTCAGAAGCAGTACAGGTGGCTAATAAATACACAAAGGTGTTCAGTATTGCTGGCCGTTAGAGAAATGAAGTTGGAAAAACACTGAGATTATATCTGCAAAAAGAATGACTGTCATCAAGAAGTCATACGAGCAAATTCTGGTGATGCCGCTGGGAAAAAAGAACCCTCTGCATTGTTCGTGGAAGTGTAAGCTCATACACGGAGATTCTTCAACAAACGAAAATGAAAAATTGCATTTGACCCTGCCATTCCCTTTGTTACGACTTTCCTGAAAGGGTTAAAGGCAGCATCTGTACAGTGACATGCGCATGCCTGTGTCGATAGCAGCACAGTTCATAAGAGCTAAATCTTGGAAGCAGCTTGTAAGTCCATCAGCACGTGAAAGAATAAAGGAAATGAGTGTACACTGCTATAAAGAAGGATAGACTAAGCTGAGCATGGTGGCATAGGCCTAGAATAGCACTTGGGAGGCTGAGGCAGGAGGATTGAGGCAAGTTCAAGGTCAACCTGGTCTACATGGTGAGTTCAAGGCCATCCTGAACGGCATAGCAAGGCCCTGTCTCAAAAAAACTAAATAAATACATAGAAACTTGAGACAGTGGTAGATCCATGGATACACGTTGAGAGCGTACCGTTAAGTGAAATCTTAAATACCGCATGGTTCCTCTTATCTGACACACCCAAAGTATAAGTAAATTGCAAAGTAAAAGGTAACAGGGAACAGGGAGCTACTTTGCAAAGGGAGGGGGACCGAGAGCCAGAGGGCAGGGGGAGGGAGAGGTGAGGAAAGGCACAGAAAAAGAAGTAAGGTGTGTGCAGGAACCAGCTGCCCACTGTGAATGTAATCATTATGTACTGAAACGTGCAAAACCCCACACAAACAATAACACAATCTCTCTCACTGTAGCGTTCCTATTCGTCCCCGTTGGTCACACAGAGTGGTGTGCGTCTTGGGGAACTGGCACAGAGGTACAGCGTGTCTTAATCGTGTTTAATCCATGTCCCCTCTCCCCTGCCTTCTTCTCCCCCTTCCCATGATCCCTTTCCCCTGCCTGTCATCTCTGTTCTATGCATTTACTTATATTTTAGGTTTGTCAGATAGAAGAAACTGAGATATTTAACTTCCCGAGTCTGGGTTATTTTGACACGGTGGTCTCCAGTTCCATCCACGTTCCTGCAGATGACGTGGTTTCACTCTCCTTGGTGGCTGGGTAACACTGCGCTGCGTATATGCACCACATTTCCTTCATCCATCCGTGTGTTCATTAACGTCGAGGCTGTTTCCGCAGCTTAACTACTCTGACCTGTGTGACTGTAACTTAAGTATGCGTGTACCCTAAAATATTTCACAGGTATTTGTAAGAGTGGTAGAGTAGGATCCAGTGGTATTTCTTTTTGTTTCTTTGTTTTTTTTGGTACCAGGAATAGAACTCAGGACCTTGCACTTGCCAGGCAGGTGCTTAGGCCACTGAGCTGTATCCCTGGCCCTCCAATGGTATTTCTGTTTTTGATGTTTTCATAGTGATTGCTGTAGTTTACATCCCCACCAACAATGTGGGAGGGTTTCTTTTCCCCCAGGATTATCAGTACTTATTATTTTTTATATGCTTGATGGTAGCTGTTCTGGCTGGGGTAGGCTAGAATCTGAATGAGGTTTTAATTTGCATTTCCCTAGTGGCTAATGCTGTTGAACATTTTTCAATAGACGTATTGGCTTCTGTATTACTTTTTTTGAGAAGTGTCTATTTCATGTGCCTACTTTTTGGTTTGGTTATTTGTTTTTTGGGAGATGACTTTGATTTTTAATGTTTTTAATATTCTAGATATTAATTCTCTATTGGTAAAATAGCTAGCAAATTTTTTTCCCATTCTGTAGGTTATTTCCTCATTCTGTTGTTTCCTTTGCTGTATAGAAGCTTTTTGATTGTACGTGCTCCCGTTGTTGATTCTTGGTATTACTTCCTGTGCTATTGGAATCCTATTCAGAAAGTCTTTGCTTGTGCTTACGGCATCAGGTGTTTTCCTAGTGTTGTCTCCTGCAGTTTCAGGGTTCCTGGTTTTCTGTGTAGGTCTTGGATCCATTTAGATTTAATTTTAGTATAGTATGAATGGCAGGGATCTAGTTTCAGTCTTCTGTATGTAGAGACCCAGTTTTCCCATTGTTAAAATGACTGTCTTTTTTCCAGCGCATGTTTTTGTCCACTTTGTAAAAAATCAGATAGTTGTAGGTTTGTTTCTGTGACTTCTGTTCTACTAGTCTACGGGTCTGCTTTAGGCCAGTACCAGGAGTTTTTTTTTTGACTATACGGTAATAACAAAAGCTTTAGGGTATAATTGAAACCTGGAGTTGTGTTGCCTCCAGCATTCCTGTGTTTCTTCAGGAGTGCTTTGTGTATTCTAGATCCTTTCTGATTTCAGTTGAATTTGATGATTTTTTCTTTCTAGCACGTTGAAAATGTTAGTATTCTGGTAGAAACTGCACTGAATCTGTAGATCACTTTGCGGAGGGGTGCTGAGACAGTGTCTCGCTATCTTGAACTCACTCACAGTGACCCTCCTGCCTCAGCTTCCCCAGTGCTGGGATTACAGGCTCGTGCCATCATGCCCGGCTCTAGGTCACTTTGGACACTGTGGCCATTTTAACTATATTCTGCAGGCTATGAGCAGGGGAGATCGTGTCACTTTCTATTGTTTTATTCAGCTTCTTTCTTTAGTATTGTGTAGTTCTCATCATAGAGGTCTTTTGTACATCCTCAGGCTGACCCCTAGGTGTTCAGTTTTTTAAGATGGCGTGAATAGAATTGCTTTCCCGATTTTGCAGTGGGC